CCACAGCGCCCAGGAAGGAACTGGCCAGCACGCCAGCTAGCCTGGCCCACCCTGCTGCCTGCCCTTCCTGATGGCGCCCCGTTGGCATCTGTTCTCACCCCGACTACCAGAAGTTTCTCTGCCTCCTGGAGGTGTGGGGAGGATACAGGATCCCATGGAATTCTGAGCCATCACTGACCGCCCCCCCCCCCCAGGTGCCCGGGGTAACCCTCACGCCTCCCTAGGAAATGACATCATCACCCCTAGTTTGCAGGCGGGTGGGAACCCAGGGCTCAGAGGTGGGCAGCCCCCTGGCTCAGATCACACAGCTGCCGAGTGCTGGGGCCGGGGGTTCACCCAGGTCTGCCTCAGAGTCTAAAGCTTTTCATCAGAACCCCACATTGTCCCAGGCGAGGGGGCAGGTTTCCCCAGCGCTGCCCCCCCCCCACCCCAATCTTCCCTGCAAGCCTCGGATTCCAGCTGCAGGGAATTCCAGCCTCGGATTCCAGCCTCGATTCCTGTGGTGGGCAGTCCGGTGTGTGTGTGTCCGCTAAGACAAGGCATTCCCGCCACGCTGACGGTGGGAACAGTAACGACAATAATTTCCAGGCAACGAGATGCCAGGTCCTCTGGGGCGCATTATCTCGCACCCTTAGAAGAACCCTTTCCCCCAGATGGGCATGTCCCCATTTTACAGAGGCGGCTCCGGGAGGTGCCAGGGCAGTGTGGCCCTTAGCGTGGCTCCAGCGGGCAGGGAGGGAGGGGGAGAGGGAGCTGAGGGTCACCAATCACAGACCCCAGAGGAGAGCCTCTCAGCCTGAGTCCCCCCACAGGAGAGAAAGAAAAAAAAAAGCGGCAAACAAATTAGGCTCCGCGGGCCCAGAGCCGGGGAATCAGGGTGAGCCAGGAGTCAGCTGTGAAGAATGCCTCCGTTCAGCGGCAGACGCTGCAGCCCCGCGCAAAGGCCACTGCTTCCCCTTCCGCCCGCAGCCGAGGTGCCCGCCCAGGGGCCACAGGGGCCGGTCCCCAGGCTCTGGGCTGGCGGAGGGAGCCCTGCAGCCCGCAGATCCCCGAGGGGAGAGCACCACGGAGGCCTTTTTACAAAGCGCTGGCCTTCCTTCCAAGGAGACTCATCTCTGAGACAGGCCTCACACCCCGGCGGGGGGCAGGGTGTCTGTGGCCCCAATGAGTGGGGGACTGTGCCAGCTGGAGCACCCCCCCGGCGGAGGGGTCCTGCTGGGAGCTGGCACCCTGCGGAAGGGCCTGCGGGAGGCCGTGCATGCTGGGAAATGCAGCCGCCGCCGCCGCCGCCGCCGCCGGAGGGGACTGGGGCCGACTTTGCTCTTCCCTGCCCCGCACCGGCTCTGCAGCTGCCGCTGCCGGTGCAGCGAGGGGAGGTGAGCTCCCAGGAAGGCCCGGCCCGGTGTAAACACTTCCCGGGAGAGGAATGTGCTGGAACAGTGGGGCTGGGCCACGGGAGCTGCACGCAGCGAGCTGCACGCAGCCAGCTGCGGTAAATTAAAAAAAAAAAATCATCCCGGGACTCAGACGGCTTTTGTGAAACTCAAGCGAATCCTCGTCGCACTCCCTCCTGCCGAGGCTGGCCCATCCTACCTGGGCACGCGAGCCCGAAGGGGCCCTCCCAGGCTCCGCAGAGCCGGTGACTGCGGCGGGGAGGCCAGGGCGCCCGGCAGGCCCCGCTGGCGGAGGGCGCCCGGCCCGGAGGCCGAGGTGGGCGCGGCGGGCGGGAGCCCTGCGTCCCTCTGTGCCCACAGGCTCCCGCCGGCACCCGGCACCGACAGATCGCGGGTCCCCAGGTCTGGGAGCTGTCTGACAAGCGATGAGACTCCATTTTGGGACAGATTTTTGGACTCTCCCGCCATCTCTACCCTCTCCCGGGGCCTCCTCCTCCAGGAATCCGCCACCTCTTCAGGACAGAAACCCTTTCCAGACGAGCCGGCGAGCAACCGAAGGCAAGAAAAGAGTTACATAATTCCGTGTGGCCAAGCCACCAAGGGAAAAAAACGGGGGGCTCTATGCTGTCATTTTCTCGTGTGTCCTCGGGTGGAGGAAGGAGCGGGGGTTCCAGATTTTGGGTTTGGAGGCGCAGCTCCTCCCGGTGTCTAGCAGGATTTTCTGTCCGCGGGGCGCGGGCTGCCCAGAGGCCAGAGCCTCCCTCGGGCACAGAACAATCCGATGCTTTTGTTTTTTCCCTTATAGAGCAGGACCTCCCCACCCCAACACACACACACACACACACACACACACACACACACACGAGAAAAAGGAGACTTTCGAGTTTTGCATGAAAATGCCAAATGCCGCGGGGCCCCGCGCTTTCTGCCCCGGCTGGGCGTGCCGGCGGATTTTTATCAAACGCTATTAAATTCGCCGAGTGTCCATCAATTACCCCCGTGGTGCGTACAATAATGCCGCTCTCTGGGCGTGCGGGAGCTTTGAGGACAAGTCGAGTGGAGGAAAAAGGAGCTTAAGAAAAACAGCCACTTCTCTCCGAGCCCCGAGCCCCTGAAGTCGCAGCCGTGGGGGGTTGCCCGTTCCCCAGCGCTGCTGACGCACAGCCCAGACAAACCCGGGAAGGCACGTTTGTGTGCCCACTTGCCCGGATTCTCGTCTGAAAGCATTTACGCACAGATGTAATAAATATGCCTCTGCGAGCCTCAAAGGGAAAAAAATAAATAAATCGTTGGAATATGTTTTTATTGTGAAAAGAGCATTGCTTCCCAGCGAGCCCCCGCTCTGCTCTGCCCGGCTGCGCTGGCTCTCTCAGGAGGAACGCCGAAGGGAGATGGGCAGCCGGGAACCCGTCCCCGGGAGTGTCTGGCTCCCAAGCCCTGCTCAGCCCCACAAACAGCCCACCTGGAGCGGATACCTAATCGGCGGTGGAGCTGCTAGAAGGAGGAGGGGGCACCTTGAGGGGATGGATGGTGCCCAGGCTGAGGTTCGCCCCCATTCCAGAATGGACTGGCGAGCACACCCCGAGGGCACCGGAGCAGAACGCTCTCAGGCGTCCCTTTCCTCTTTCAAACAAATACCCGTTGGACAAAGCCAGCCGCAAACGTCCGATTGTTTTGTAAAACGAGGGGGTGGGCCACTCAGCTCGAAGGGGGACCCTCCAGATCAGATTTTGTGGCTTTACGGTCCTGTGCTCTGCAGAAGGAGGGGTACCCTCTCCTTGTCTTAACAAGAAGCTCCCTAAGCGACTGGGGGGAGGGAGGAGGGTAAGAGTGGGGGGAGGTAGATGAGCAGCTTTGCACGAGAGGTGGGAGAGGTTTTGCACATGTTCCAATACAGAGGAAATTTTCTAGAACCTGCCCAAATGCCCCGAAGGCCCACTGGCCGCTTCCCGAGCCTCCTGCCCAGGTGTGGAGAGGTCCAGGCCGGTGGCTGAGCGGAGAGGGAAGTGGCACTGCCAGAGTCCAGCTGGGGTTGGGCAGGCAGAGCCAGTGAGGGCTGCAGGGAGGCCAGCCGTGGGTGGGCCGGAGTCCGGCGAGCCTCGCCGAGGGGCTGCTCCCAGGCCGGCCCAAAACCGCCAACCGCACCCACCCCAAACCACTTTCCCCGTTTCATGTGCCTGCCCTGTGCCTGCCTGGCTGAGCTGACGGGTGGCCTCACCTTCTGCTGGGGCTGGAATCCCATCAGTCCAGGGCATGGCGGCGCAAAAGGGGTCCTCGGCTTTGCGCCTCATCCCGGGTGCTCCAGACGGAGGGGGAGGCCTCGGCTGGGCTCTGGGGCCAGCGGGAGAGCTGGCTCTCGGAATCTGGCTCCAGCTCCTGCCCGAGAGCTCCCAGCCCACCAGAGGAGCAGGGCACAAAAGCCAGCTCTTGCTAGGCCCCCAGATCCGGGGAGCACAGCCAGGGCGGGCCAAGGATGGGCACAGCCAGAGCCTTTCAGAGTCCAAGCCCATGCCCTCCGGAGGGCTCTGACTTCAGCCAAGTAGCTGGAGGGGCAGGCCTGGGTTTGAGGACAGTCTCTGGGCAGAGCAGGTAGGCTTTTCCCAGAGCCCACGCAGCCCCTCTGCGCCCCACAGCACCCGAGCAGCCCGCCCGCCCGCAGCCCCCGTGGGAAGAGTTTTCCGGGCCTCGCTAGAAAGTTGTCGCAGGCACCCACTTGCCTCTGCAATGCTGCCCCGGGGATCCCCACACCCCTCTGTTGGCTGCTGCGCCTCTCTGCCTCCCTCTCAATCAGACTGCCAGGCACAAAACCCAAAGGGAAGGGGGGGGGAGCCACATCTCTTATTTGTTCCTTGCCCGACAGACCCACAGTCTCAGCTAAAAACAAGTCAGCAGGTAGAGCTCAACCCTCTGGCCTCAACCCCTGGAGGGACACCGGGCAGACAAGCTGATTCCCTTTGGGGAGCCCCGGACTGCGGTTTGCCACCTCTTGAGGTCCTTTTCCAAACCAACAAAAATTATAAGTGCAAAACTCCCACAGGGAACGGTTCTGGGGCCGATGGACGGACATCCTTTTCTTTCCATCGGGGACTAAAAAATGCAGCGGGGCTCCTGGCAGGAAGCGGGTATGGGGGGGCTGCCCAGGCAGCTCAGCACCCCTGCACCCCACCTCCTTGCTCCAGGAATCCCAAACCTCCACACACCCTGCCTTTGAGCTGGAGAAGCACACACCACCAGGGCCTCCCTCCCTCCAGCACTGCTTTCGTTTGGAAATCAATTCTCGGTCCCTACTTCAGGCCTCCCAGGACCGTGGCATCAATCCCCCCAGTTGGCCCAGGGCCTTGTCCTGCACCCCAGCGCTGGTTTTCCGGACAAAGGACGGGCCAGAGGCTGCCCGAGGCTCCGGGCCACCCCGCCAGTGCTGGCCCGGCCCGGCTGGCTCGCCCCTGCGGGAGACACGCAGCCCGCGGAGCCCTGGGCGGTGACGGGCCCAGCGGCGCGGAGCCGGGCAGGCGCGGCAGGGGGAGCGGGCCGGCCTGGCTGGCGGCGGGGGCGGCCGGGCCGGGGCGCGGGGCGGCCGGGGAGCAGGAGGAGGCTGGAGGCGCTTACTGTTGGTAGTCTTGTTTGCAGTACAGTTTCCGATCCCGGAAGTAGCAGCTGGTGGTGAGGGCTTGCTGACACGCCGCGCACTGCAAACACTCCTCGTGCCAGGACGACTCGTTGACTCGCATCAGGAAGCGGTCGGAGATGGGCCGCTGGCAGCCCTCGCAGACGGCGGGGTGCGGGCAGTCGGAGCCTGCAGCGCACGGGGCGAGAGCCGGGCCGTCAGCGCCGGCCGCCGGGCCCCCGCAGCCCCGGCGCCAGGGCGAGGGCAGCTCCGGAGCGCCGCCCGCCCGCCGCCCGCCGCCCCCCGGGCCCGGGCAGCCTCGGCGGTTCCTCCCGATCCGCAGCCTCGGGCGCGGGGTGTCCGCGGGCCTGGAAGCCCGGCGGGGCGCGGCGCTCCCCCCTCCTCCGGAGACCCGGCGCTCGGGTTCTCACGCAGGAGAAGGGGCGCGGCGCGGGGTGGCCGGGTGGGACCCGCACAGGCGAGGCGAGGCTGGGGGCTCGCTGGCTTACACGGCCCGCAGTGGCATTCGTGGTCTTCTGTCCCCCATTACCCCCAAATCACTGATTTTGGGGGGGCTCGGGAGACCTTGTTCTTTTAGAAGCTCCGCTCCCCAAATGACCTGGCACCGCTTTCGAGCTTGCCAAGGTCGTGTCCTCCATCACCCCTGCCGCCCACCTCCTGCCTCCGGTCCAGAGTTGCATCTCTAGAGTCCAGGCCCGAAGATGGATGTGGGGTGGGTAGGTGGGTGGGTGGGGGCTGGAGCTGCCTGTCCCCCCTCCTCCCAGGTGATGATGTCCCTGCATACCGGCCCCCGCAGGACGCCCGTCTAGCCTGGGGCCCCTCTAGTGTCCCTCAGGCGTGTCCTGTGTCCTCCACACTCACTGCCCACGTCCTGCCAACCCGTGCCTCCAGCAGCTGGCCCAGACGCCCGCTCCCACCTCAGGACCAGGCCCCCGTCTCCTGCCGCGCGCGACCCCCGGGGCGCCCGGACCCCGCACTCACCCAGCAGCACTCCCAGCGTGGCGGGCCCCGGGCGCAGGGCGTGCTCCTCCATCTTGATGCCGTCCAGCATCTTGGCGCAGTCAGCCTGCCCGCGGGGAAAGCACCTCTCCAGCGACTCGGGACCTGTTGCTATATCCATGGGGCGCGGGGCGCGCCGCGGGGCCCGCCGGCCAGGGTGCGCGCCCGCCCGCCCGCCGCCGCGGCCCCGGAGCCGGAGAGGCGCGGCCCCCGCGGGGCTGGGGCTGCGGTTGGGGCCGCCGGTCGCCCCCGGCGAGCGTGCAGGATGGCCCCGGGCCCCGGCGTCGTGCTGGCGGGCCGGGGCGGTGCAGCCCGCGCCGCGCTCTCCCGGGCGCCCGCCGCCACGCGCGCCGGCTCCTCTGTCACCTGCTTGTCAGCCCGGAGCTGGGCTGCGGCCGCGGCTGCAGACGGAGCCGCGGGGAGGAGCGGCGGCGGCGGCGGCGGCGGCGGCGGGCGGGGGAGGGGGCGGGGGTGCAGGGGGTGGAGGGGCGGCCCCGCAGGCCGGGGGGGGGGGCGCGGGCGGCGCAGCGGGGTCCCGGGCGGGCGGGGCGCAGCGGGCCGCGGGCTCCCGGCGCGCTCCCCGCGCTACTCCAGTGCCATGGTGCTGCGCCCGGGGAGCCGCTCGGTTTAGAGCCGGGGCCGGCGGCGGAGGGATCTCCCGGCCGGGAGCCGCCTCACCCCTCCTCAAACTTCCTGACATTTGAACTCATTGGCGCGCCTCGTATCCCTGCGCCGGGATGAGCCGGCGGCTCCGCGGCAAGTAGTGCCGCCGCCGCGCCCCCGCCCCCCGCGGGCGGGCTCCCCGCGCTCCCGGCCCGCGCGCCCGGCGTGGCGCCCGGCCCCGGGCGCGGGATCGGGGTCCCGGGCCCGGCCAGACGCCCCCCCGTGGGTTCCTCTCAGAAGTTTGGCTTCTTCTGGAGACAGATCCTTCTGCCCCACCCCCTTGAAACATTGGTTTGGGAGCTGGGGAACGGAGGCTTTCCTTTTGCTTCCATCCGTGCCTTCTTCGTTATTAATATTTTGTGAAGCTCCAGCGCGGAGAGGAGCGGCCCCGGACGAGGCCACACCGCACGGACGGCGGCCAGCGCGGCAGCTCCGGGGGCCGGCGCCGTCCGGGGACCCCGACTGCCGGCCCAGGTAGGTGGCCCCGGGCCGGGCGCGCGTCCCCGGGGCCGGCCTGACCGCAGAGAGGTGCTGGCTGCCGGGGTTGAGGGAGCGGACCGGCGGGGGAAAAGGGGACCCGGCCCAGGGTGGGCCCCGAATCTGGGATGAGGGTCCGGGGAGCCTTCCGACGTGGCAGCGATCGGGCGGAGGGGCGAGCGGAGATCGCGGCGGGGCCCCGGGATCCAGAATGGGGGGCATTGGACAGGCGAGGCGGGAGAGGCCGGGGTTCGGGCGACGGGACGTTTAGAGGACGATTCGGCTGGGAAAGGGGGTCCCCGGGTAGGGTTTGGGGGGGTGGGCAGCGGGTGAGACCTGGCCCCGCAGGGTTTGGAGGGCGGAGCGCGGTGGGGGCGGCGGCCCCGAGTCGGGGACTGACAGTCCGAACGGCGTGTCTATCGCCGCGGGAGGAACCGCCCGGCGCCGGGGAGCCCGCAGGCCGCGCGGCGGGGACGGCGGCGGAGGGGCCGGGAGCGAAGGGCTCCGGGACCGAGCGGCCCGCCCGGCCGGCGCTGCAGATCGGGACCGCGGGGTGCGCAGGCCGTGCTGGGGCTCGGGGCCCCGGGTCCCCCCGGAGGCGCGGCGGCCCGGGGCGGCGCGGGCTGACCTCCCGGCCCCTCCGGGAGCGGGGCAGCGGCGCGGAGCGGGCGAAGGCGGAGGGCACGGGGGGCGGGTCCCCTGACCCCGCTGGAGGGAGAGGGCGGATCGGATTTGGAGCTCAAGGGAGGTTAGGGGGCCGTGGGGCCCCGCGGAGGGGCCCGGCTTTGTGGGGGATTAGGGCCTCCAGCCCCACCCCGGTACCTGCGTGTGTCGGTGAGCATCAGTGTGTGTGTGTGTGTGTGTGTGTGTGTGTGTGTGTGTGTGTGTGTGTGTGTCGTACGTGTGCACCGTGTTTCTGTGCTCCTGAGACTTAGTGGGCCTCGAAAGTGTGATTCTGTGAATGTATATCTGACTCCCCTGCGTGTGTGCTTGTGTGCATGTGTGCGTGTGTATGCGTGCCAGTGTGTGTGTGTGTGTGTGTGTATGTGCGTGTGTGTGTATCTTTGGGCCCTTCCGTGCCTCGGGCCATCCGTGGTTTGGAAGGCCGTGTGTGTCCCCGTGTCTGTGTCACTCTGGGGGCTCGTATGTCTTTGCGTGTCACCTCTCAGCCTTCATTGTGTCTGGGTTCTTTTGGGTAAGTGTGTCGTGTCGCCGTCGTGTGTCTGCGTGTCTCTGAGCTCCTGGGTGACTCTGGGGGCTCCGTGTCCCAGAGGTTGGGGCGTGTGCATGGCTCTCTGTCTCCGTGCATTTCTCCTTTTTGTGTGTGTCTGTGCCCAGGACGTGGGTGAGTGGATGCAGAGTTTCGCTCGCACGTCCTTGATCCTCGCCCTGGAAAGAAAACCCCAGGCCTTGGGCTCCAGAGCCTAGGCCACGGCTTCCTTCTAGGGGGCGTTCGGGCGGGGGCGGCGGCTGCCGGAGGCGCACAGCCCGGCGCGGGGCTCGCAGACCGATCGGGCACACTCTGCCCTCTGCTGGCAGCGCCGCGGCCCTGCACCTGCTGTCGGGTGCTGAGTTGTGGGGGATGGGGATTGGGGGGAGAGACACACGTAGGGGGTCCGGTTCCAGGCCCAGAACCTTACGTTCTTCAGAGCGCACCTGGGAATCCTTTCCCGTCACAGGCCCTGTGACCACCCCAGACCCCAGCATCCGGGGCAGCGTTCCATCCCCCTCCCTCTGTTTCCCCTTCCCCCTTCCCTGGGCCCGGCCTCTTCCTCTCCACATTTCTCTCTGCAGAATGGGGGGCCCTGTGGCCAGGCCTCTTAGACTTCACTGACCCTGGGGGCCATGCGTCCAGCGCTGGGTGCCGGCTGCCAGCTGTGCCCACAGCCACAATCCCAGGGCACCCATTGGCTTGGGCTGCCAGATTGGATGCCGGTGGCTGGTCTGCCCTGGGGCGCACAGACTTTTGGCAGCCCCCCTGCCCACCCCCCCTTGCCCGCATCACAGCCCACACTGCCAGAGCAGACCCTGGGAGGGCAAAGGGTGGGGGCTGGGGCCACCAGAGGCTGCCCAGGTGCGTGGTGAGACTTGGGTGAGGGGTGCTCAGTGCACAAACCTGAGTCCCCGCTCTGCGTCCTCCCCGCTCACTGCCCACTCCTCTGCCCCCCTCCCGGGTCACCCTATAGGTGCTGTTCCTGCCCTTTGTCCCTGCACTGCGTCAAGCAGCCCCCCAGCCCAGTCTGTGGCCCTGGATCCTTCCCACACAGACGCCCCGGTCACTTTCATTCACAATTGCAACTCCTGCACTGCCAAACCCCTCGCCCTGCTGAAGTGACTGGCTGGATGGTGGAACGGGCCTGGGCCCAGGCCGGACACAGCCATCCAGTGGGCAGCGAGCCGGTGCCTTGTTCTCCGGACAGCAGCCCGGGACCCGGTGCCGCCGATTGGCCCGCGCGGTCCTGGGCCCTGGACGCGGGCGCTCTGGTGGAGCCGGGATGCTCACTGGCTCGGTCTCAGCAGCAGAAAAAGCTTCACGTTTTCTCCACCTGAGGAGACAGCTGCTGGCTGTGCGAACGGGAGAGGGAAGCTCCAGGTTGGGTGCCTGGGCTTCCCAAATCCTGTGTATACCCCGTGCTCACTGAGTCCTTCCCATCCCCATTGCTCCTGTCCTCAGGGCCTCGCACTGCCCACCCCTCCCCCCTCCCCCAGCCAGAGCTACAGCCCGGAGCATCCCCTCCCCCACTCCTTCCCCCCCCCCCCCCCCAGCTGACTGACCACCGGAGCCCAGCCACGGGCACCCTCCCAGTTTACAACCCCAGCGGGAGGCAGGATCCAGGGCAGGGCCAGGGCCCAGAGTCATGAAAGTGCCAAGGAGGAGCTACACGGTGCAGGGTTCTACCCAGCTGGGGAGCCACTGGGATCCATGGGAGTCAGCCAGACTGGACCTGAGCCGCCCCTAGCCAGGGGGTGGAGGGGAGTTGCTATTCTGGGAGGCAGCTCCTGGAGGCAGGAGACCTGGGGACTCTGGAAGTTGAGCTAATGGCACCGAGGAAGGTCCCCATGCTCCTCTCCCCGGACCTCAGCCCAGGACAGGTGGGTCAGAGGTTCAGCTGCTCCTCAGCCAGCAGAGAGATGGGTGTGTGTGATAAGGAACCATCACCTCCCGCAGCCAGTGGAGTGTCTACAGTCTCTGTGGACACTCTGAGCTGGGTGGAGGTCCAAAGAGAAGGGTGACTGAGGGGGAAGGGGTGCAGGCTGCCTGCCCTCTGACTCAGGGCTGGAAGCAGGTTCTCTCCCTCCTGGGTTTACTAGGCAGATGGCAGAGGTGGGGGGGAGGATAGGGTGTGAGGCGGAGTTTGCTGGTGAGGGGAGCAGTGTGTGCCACTGTGTGTCCTGGGACTGCGGCTCTGTGAGTGCGGACTGCCCAGCCCCCGCCAAGGCCCTCTGCTCCCTGCAGCTCAGCCCCACCCTCAACCAGCGGGTGGGGTCTCTGGCCACAGACCATGGCTTTGCAGCACAAGGTCTGGATCATGAGTCATGAGATTCCTCCCCGGGAATATATAAGCATTTGGTAAGTCATTGGATGGAAGCGAGTCCCCAGGACCGGGAACCCACAGCGCCTCCTCCAGCCAGAGCCCAGGGAGAACAGACCACACTGAGCTTAGGGCAGCTGAGACTCAGATCCTGGCATCTGTGGGCTGGGCACAGGAGGTGCCCCTCCCCCAGGCAGTGCCCAGACTTCCAGCATGGACAGCCGGTGGGGCCCGGAGCCCGGGCTACCCAAGGAATCAGCCCATTGCATCAAACCCAACCGTGGGACTCTCAGGTGCTGTTCATATTTATTTTTTCAAAGGCACTTTCCTCAAGACTCTTCGCATTTCTTACCCAATGGACGGGCTGGGTTATGCCAGCAGCCCATCCAACACCAGGGCCTCCCTGGGGGAGGAGTGAGCCAGAACAAAGAGACCACCGAGGATGTGTTTGGAACAAAAAAAAAGAAAAGAAAAGAAAGAAAAGAAAAAAAAGAAAAAGAAAAGCCTCATTAGGACACAAAGAATAACTCACAGAAAGACATTTTCTGTGAATTGGACACAAATTCACAAACGCAAGGACGCTCGTTGGCCTCCCGGGGAGGATCCAGGCTGGGGTGGGCGGGAGGGGCCTGGGGGTGAGGCGGGCCCAGCGCCCATCCTATTTGATCTTTATCTTCAATCCGCTTCAAAACGCTGGGTTCCAGAGGGGTTGGGGCTCGCCCCTTCCTGTAATGATTTGGGGTCCAGTGAAGGTTTATGAGTGTC